GGAAGTTGAGGTTCCCTGTCCGAATAGCGCGGGCCTTGGTGGAGCTTGACCAGATGAGATAGGCGGGGCGCTTGGTCTTCCAGTCGCTGTTGTCTCTGCATTTCTTGAGGGAGCAGACGCGGAGGGAGTCTGCCATGAACCAAATGGAGCTTTGGGAGATGCAGGTTTAGGCTTCGGCTTCGGTAGGTTACCTGCTGCAGCCGACTCTGAAGGGATCGTCTGGCCCTTTGTCGTTTCTCGTTCAGTAGGTTTGTCGGACGCCACTCGCGAGATATCGGTGCCCTTGGATGTAGAAGGCGTCACCGGAGCCACAGCACTAGGCCCACGCCCAAAAGGATTGAAAAGGGGAGTTGTAGAGGTCGGTTTGGATTCAGCAGCCGGCTGGGTCTGATTTCCCTTTCTTGCAACTGGAGAGGATTGCGTAAGGCGTGTATCATCGTCACTTTCCGGAAGATTGAGAGGCGCTGATAAGTCCTCTTCCTCTCCTTCCTCCTCTTCCTCCTCCTCCTCTTCTTCCTCCTCTTCCTCTTCCTCCTCCTCCTCCTCCTCCTCTTCTTCTTCCTCCCCTTCCTCATACTCATGTACTTCCAGCCCATCATCTTCCAAGAAGTCATCGACATCATCCTCAAGGTCTACGCTTCCTTCGGGTTCTTCCTCGCTGCCGGGTTCCTCTTCAGTTTGCTGACTTGTACTAGGGTTGCCTTTAGTCGGTGTGCTTGAAAAGGCTGATTCTGCTCGGGAAGGTCCAATACGAGAAAGGAGTGACGGCATCGGGGCAGCTGGAGTGGGACTACTCGCTGGAGTAGTCGAGGATGGAGCAGTTGCTTGAGTAGGTTTGAAAGCTGCTGTAGCTGAAGCGGCGGCATCAGAAGGAGCAATCTTTTTACCGAATGCCAATTGCGAGCTAGATGTCGATGAATTTATTTCTTTCAGATCCAACCCCCCAAGTCCGCTCGAGGAAGGGCCTTTCTCATCTGATTTGACGGCGAATAAACCTGGGCCGTTATATCTTGTAACTGGTTCTAGTTTGTCGGCATCCTCTTCCGGGAATTTTTCCTTGGCGCCAGTAGTATTATCCTCATCATCCTCTTGATCGGTCTTCTCTCTGGTACCACGAGCGCCAAAGCCAGGTTGCGAGACGGCTGCATTGCTTCCAAACATTGACTTTGGAGCTGCTCCGGTACTATTCTTTTGTGATGGACCCAAAGCTGGTTCTGTCGCGGGTTTGAGGCTATCGGATGATCCTTGGAGATAAGCAGGAGTCTTAGTATCACTCTTGGTAGCAGCCACAGATCCGAATCCTGTGCCGGAGCTGGCAAAGGCACTAAACCCACTTCCTGTACTCGACGAGGCACGAGGTGCAGAAGAGGCTGCCGTGGCAAACGGCGATTTTGCAGCAGTACCAAATGCACTTTGTCCAAACGAGCTCTGCCCAAATGCAGTCTGTCCGAAGCTGCTCTGTCCAAAGGCACTTTGTCCAAATTTAGGTTGACCCGGCGTTGCTGCAGCATCTGATCCAGACTTTGCAGGACCTCCAGTTGCAGGTGCCTGGGCTACAGCCCCCCCAAAGGCGCCCGGCTTAGATTGTGAATCAATCGGTTTCGGGTTGTTGCTGAAGGCACTGAAGCCGCCCCCCGTATTTTGGTTTGAGAAGGCGCCAAACCCTGAGCCTACTTTGAAAGTGGAGGCACCTAGCGCAGTAGGGGCGCCAAAGGCTGACTGGGTAGGGGCAGGGGTAGTAGACCCACCAAAGCCAGTTGAAGCCGGTTTGGCTTGCTCTGTAGATGCCGAGGTAGAAGGTGCACCAAATGATGATTGTCCAAACGCAGGAGCAGCGGGTTTGTTTGCTCCGAATGGATTAGGAGGGGTTTCAGTTTTGCCTTTGTCAGTCGCACTTGTTGAGGAAGTAGCACCAAATGAGCTTTGGCCAAAGGCAGGTTTGTTGTTGGCGAATGATGCGAAACCACTGCTTCCAAAGGCAGAAGTTGTCGTGCCCGCAGTAGAGTTGGAGGGAGTTGATCCAAAGCCTGATTGACCAAAGGTGGGTTTAGCCGAAGCAAAGGCTCCAAAGCCTAATGTCGGGCCACTCGACGCTGGATTTGCTGCAGCAGCGGCGGCGGCAGCAAAGGGACTTTGGGCTAAGAGGTTATTAGCCAAAGCATGACAATGGGTCTGATAAACACTTACAAGAAGCTGATCCGAAACCTGATGACCCAAATTTGGGGGCAGCGCTAGAACTAAATCCAAATCCACCTTGCCCAAATGCTGGCGTGCTCGACGTGGAGCCGAACGGAGAAGGTCCTGTGGCTGGTGTACCGACGCCTGGAGTGGGCGCCGCGGTAGACATTCTTTCCGAATTTGCGGCAGTATTTTGGCTGGTACCGACATCCATATCCTGGTCGAAGGCTGCGCCAGCTGCAGTAGCCATACCTGGATAAGGAACCGGGTCCTCATTAACCACGTGGAATGCAACTACTACACAGTCATTCGTATACAGGTATAATATAGGTGCCGGTGGAATAGCGGGATCATCTCCATTCGCTTGGTTTGACGCCAGTAGTTTGGTCTTTGCAGAAAGGTCCATGGCCATACCGATAAGGGAAGTATCGTCCATATCTGACGATAATGGGAAAGTGATAGAGTCTTCACCTAGGGAGATCTTGCTCCATGTTCCCGCGTCTTCCGCGTTTGTAGAGTCGCCTATGCACCCAATGATACCCACATCGTTGGCATGAGCATCGTTGACAAAGCAAAGATATTTGAAGCGACCCCAATCACGTAGACTCGATACTTGATGCCCTGGATCTCTGGCTAGACCATACGGTTCCCAAGGCAGGTCAATCCATATGTCGGTAACGTGATTCGTCCGTTTGTCAAACTGGACAATGTAATTATACTGGTCCGGTAGATGTTCCTCCATGACTCCTTCAGGCTTGGGCTCGGCATAGACGATATGAAATATGTTGTTGGAGAGCCATTGTAATAGATATGGGACCGTGCCATTCAGATTGGGACTTTGAACCCGAGGAATGGTCCCTTTGGCAACAGCGGGCTCTGTGGGACTGTATTGTAGAATGTCGCCTGATGATATCCCAATGGCGATTTGTTTGCCTTTGGTTGACCAGGAAACTGAACGAGGACGGTCAGCGCCGAGGTGAATCATGGTGAATGGTTAGAACTCACTAGCTAATGGGGCATTTCCTTCTCGGATCAGACCACTCCATCTGACAACTTCGGTATTCGTCACACAGTTGTAGAGCACGACGACCGAAGGGTTTTCGGGCGAGTTGCTAGTCGTCAAAATGGCGACGAGTCCAGGATTGTCTCCAGTATTCGCTTGTACATCAACGATGCTTGATTGATCTATTGTGAACGAGTGCGTTGGTGAGGTCTATTAAAAAGTGTATCAGCACACATTGAGGACACCAAAGAAACCACAACTAACCTCGCCTCTCACAATCCTTTCCACGTCCCACGTCGTTACTACGGATCTCGAAGCGACGACAAGCTTGCTCTCATCAGCAGTGAGGCAGAGAA